TTCGCCGACATGGAGGAGGTACTGGGGATGGGGCCTCGCAGGGTGTAACAATTGTTTGTCATGATGTATAATTGTATATAGTTTTTTATTTTTTTATATTTATATAAATGTTTTCTATCAAAGCACTGTATTCAAGTCTTTTATATTTACAGTCTGTAAACATCTGTTCTGTGCCTCATCACCGAGCATTACACAACATATTAGCATTTGCTGTGGGCAACATGATTTAGAGTTCAGATCAGTTAATTAGGCATATTTCACTCTGGTGTCATCCATGGAAATCTGGTAGAAATACTGCAGGTGTGTAAACAGTTATTCAGATAATTTGATCACACAGACCCCCTAAATAAAATGTACATACTAAACCTTTCTGCTACTCAGTAGGTGTTTGTTCAATCCAGTTGGAGTTAATTTATCACGGTCTCATAATGATGAACACCTTCTTGTTGGCAGAAACCAAACTATCAAATCCATATTTAATTTTTCCCACTTCACACACATAACTGATTTTCCTTTAGGGAATAGTTAATGTTGCTTTAGGTTGTCAGATATTCAGGGCCAGTGCACACACATGCGACATCTCACTGCGCGGCAATTGCGCACAATCCCGTGCGGTCAGGAGTCCCTTGGGTGTGCAGTGATCACCCTGTGGCTGCAATCATTCTCTAATGGCACCCCAGTCACGACAGCCGGATTGCACGGATTCACCACACAATTTTGCCTGTGCTTCTGAACGTGAAGACGGCTCAAACAGCCATGCGTCGTGTATCATTAACACAAGGGACTTGTAGCTAGTTCTGGGTATTGTTGCATGGATGTCACCCCATTCAAATCAATGGGGCCATTCAGCAATTGGGGACTGCACCACGCCTCAAGGGTGGATGACTAACAAATGTAGCTTGTGTTCCATAAGCAAAAAAACGTGGCAAATAATAATTTGGCCTTGGGATGCCGATAATTGCCATAATTTCCATTTGACGATCACACATGCATAGTATGGTCAGTATGGCCAATAGAAAGTTACTTTACCTTCGAGAAGGTGGTACACTTGTGCTGACTGAATACCTGCTATCACATGTCGGTTATGAATATGTGCTGACATTTACTCAATGCATATGCAGGCGTTTCCATACCAATATAATTAGAGCTGCATTTGCCAAGTGACCATACTCTGCTACAGTAGGGCATACTCTATGGAGCCTCTACTCTTGGAAGAACGAGTGAGATCTAAACACAGCCCTGGGGAGACACAAACGCACCCAACTCTTTCCAACTGCTGTGTAATCAGGGATTGATGAATATACAGCAATGGAGGATGGCTACAGAGCTCTACACATTGCAATACACTGTCTATCTACATTGGTTGTTTATTTTCTTTTGGGGGGGGGGCAGTGGTATTCCATAACTGTCAGCAGGGCAGCACTCCCAAAGTTCTGAGCCCCTCACACAGCTTCAGGCACCCATCCCACAGAGCCGCCATACTGAGCCAGTCACACTGTTCTTATATTACATTCATATAGCTCAGACATATATCGCAGTGCTGTACAGAGAACACTGGGCCAGTCACATCAGTCTCTGTACAGAGAGGTTTACACTCTAATGCACAATGCCACCAGATGGAGGGGGATCACAAATCCCAGCAATACATTTATACAGCAATGCCCAACCGTATATGAATTAGACTCTTTCCTCCGTGACCCAATGAACTCTGGCGTTGCTGGATTCATAATTCCATATGTCCCATTGCACTCCTGACCTGACAATCCCTAAAAACAGGGTGGCTGCAGCAGTGCCAGCAGATGCCTCTGCCAATCACTTAGAACAAGCAAAAAGTCACTCTCACGCCAAAGTGATGGCCAGTCAATCCCTTCATTGACTTTGGTGGTGTAACGCTCTCTAGGTGATGTTTCACAACCCAGTCGTCCCTTCCTCACGCCAGCATAATATGAACACCAGCAATATATAGTGACTTCAAAACACAATACAAACAACCGATCCAAAGACATGCCAAACCCCATCTGACGTCACAATGACTTAACTTCTCCTGCAAGTTATATGATAGATACCACAGGTCATGACAGTGATCCAAAGTCATCTCCACTCCTGTGCATACTTCATGTACACTCCTAGGTCAACAAGCCCTGTCATTAACATCAAATGGAGTTCTGCGATCTCCATCATCATATCTGTCCACCTCCCAAATGATTGTGTGGAAATAGGTGGAGACTTGGAGTTCCTGAATGGCCATCCCAATTGGCCTCTAGGCAGTAGCTGTTGGCGCACAAGTATTGCCTCTTGCCTCATCGTTCAGCCAATCAGTAGTGGGCAGGAAATGAACAATCAAGTGGTCTATATGTGACCAAGCTAGCAGGAGACGCTCTCTACTACATGTGCTGACACGGCTATACGGGATGAAATATGTGGGTGCACAGAAGGACCCAGAGGGATGGCTGGTGGACAGGCACATGCAGTGTTCGTAGGGGGAGGGGGCGCCCAGGCCTGGAGCTGGGAGAGGGGCCACCACTTTTCAGATGGCTGCCCTGTTGAACCTCTGACTAAGCGTTCTGGGCCACTTTTTGCCCAGATAACACATATCAGGTAACAATTTGGTGCTTATATCCTATTTGAACGTCAGTCACATGATAGTGTACAGCCCCTACTGAGCCTCGGGGTACTATTGCACCCACTGCATGCTGCCAAGCAATAGGCCGAAAATAGATATACCTAGAACAGGCTTGGCAATGCTTCCCTTGCTATCTGTTGGTTTTCATTCTGACAGAGGTGGCTGGTGTCAGTCAGGAGAACAAACAGAGTTGATAGCTCCTTGTCTTACAGCTCTGTTCCCACATAGATGTTGGCACCACCTCCTTGGATTATCTCCCTAAAGAGAGTGCTTGCTGCCTGTCAGTCACCGCTCCCCGCAGGGATTACCCCCTCCCTTCTACAATCCTACGGCGCTGACAGGAGGAACGGACATGGGAGTGGGTGGTCCACGGCTTGCTCTGCCTCTACATAGGCAGGGACAGCTGCCAATCATCAAGCATGGTGCATCTCAAAAGTATTGTTGTGATCCATCCTGGCTGCGTTGCACTCAATATCTTGCGAGCTAGAGCCCGCTATATACAGAGCTTTGGGTCGCAGGAGGATGTTAGTATATGTCCTCTCATGACCATATTGAGAACTATCGGCTAAAAAGGTTACACCATAGTTCTCTTCTAACAATTATGTCTCCCAGAGGCGGCTGTAGACTTTGCGAGGGCCTTAGGCGAAACTTAAAATTTAGGCCCCAGTCCTGCCCATAATGGAAAATGTATGGCTCTACGTGGTCTCAGGTGACTGTACAGGGTCTTAGGAGGTTGTGCGGGATCTCAGGAAGCTGTGTGGGGTCTCAGGTGGTCTGTGTGTAGTCTCAGGAGGCTGTGCGGGGTCCCTGGAGGCTGTGCAGGGTCCCTGGAGGCTGTGCAGGGTCCCTGGAGGCTGTGCAGGGTCCCAGGAGGCTGTGGGGGAGGGGGGTCTCAGGAGGCAGTGTGTGGGGGGGTCTCAGGATGCAGTGTGTGGGGGGGGTCTCAGGATGCAGTGTGTGGGGGGGGTCTCAGGACAGCCGTGCAGGGTCTCAGGACAGCCGTGCAGGGTCTCGTGGGCATCTGTTTCAGGAAGAAGAAGTGCGTCTGGCGCTGTATATCGGCACTGCAGTTCACAGGAAAGCTGTTGAATTCCCGTGCTTTCTGGGGATCTCGGCCGCCTTCCTGTGAACTGCGCCACCTGTTTAAAGCGCTGACTCCAGTTTTAAAATGTAAAGCGCAAGTTTTATACACTGTTATGCTAATCCTAATGCTGCCTTTGCACAGCAGTGTTAAGGACTCCTGCCACCTCTTAAGTAAAGTGACAGATTTAGATTCTCATGCTGTCACTTTACATCGGAGGTGACAAAAGTCCTTAACGCTGCTGAACGCAAGCAGCATAAGGAGCCCTGTCACATTCAAGCATGCATTGTAGCCAGGGCCAGACTGGGGCAAAAAAATAGGCATTTTGCACTGAGCAGCCCAATCACATGACCTTTATAGACACCCACCCCTCACACTCCGGGGCAGAGCCAAACACGGTAGCACAATTGTGGGGCAGGACCAGCCACTAGTAAATACAAGTTTACCGACTGCTATTTTGAGCTTGACAAAGAGGTTCGCCTTGAAACGCATTGCTCCATCAACCTTCCACCTTGTACTTTATATCTCCAAACACAATACTGTCGAACCCGACAGTAATTCTGCCAGTTCTCACATGATATTCATCGACCAGGTGACCGTAGGGCTCACTGTATGATTCCTCTGTCAGTAACAGCCATACGCCTTGGATACAGTGCCGACAGCACTACATACCGTCTGACGTAGCTCCGACAGCCACGGTCACAATCCAGCCGGCCAAAGAAACGGAAGCATCCTACTCCTTGGGTGCACAATCCCCCTGCACCCCGAACCACATTGTCCGCAGACACAAAGGCCGTTACAGACGGCATTTCAGTCAAAGCAAACACAAGAGACCATCGATCCTCCACCAAGGCTGCATGCCACCCGGTGCTCACCAGCTTCATGCAAGTAGTCCTTTTCAATATACAATCCAATTGGCCATGTGTATGCGCTCTTGTTGTTTTCTTTGCTTTTACACTAGTAAATGCAGGAGGGCTGCAAGCAACACACAATCCTTGCAACAATTTAGGAAGCTTACTACAGAGAAATCTTGTGATATCACCCGCCATCCTCCGCACCCCAAGCACAGTGCAATGGTCAGTGGGGCTCCGAAGTGGTCAGTGGGCCCTCTGGTGGTCAGAGGAGCTTTAAGGTGGTCAGAGGAGCTTTAAGGTGGTCAGAGTAGACTCTCAGGTTGTCAGTTGGGCGGGCTCTCTGGTGGTCAGTGTATAATATGCCAAATTGGCGTAAAAACCGTGACAAATTGGGGCTTTTTAGATGCATATATCACTATAAAAACTAACAGGTTATTCACTAAAGGGTGAAGAGTTGGGAGAAGGCGGGAGAAGTGAACAATCTAGGACAACATAGCTGATTTGAAAAAATTCTTCAATTCAGCTCACTTTCCAGTTCAGCTATGTTGTCCTAGATCAAGGATAGGCAACCTTGGCTCTCCAGCTGTGCTGAAACTACAAATCCCATCATGCTTCTGCCTCTGGGAGTCATGCCTTTGGCTTGCAATGCCTTATGGGATTTGTAGTTTCAGCACAGATGGAGAGCCAAGGTTGTCTACCCCTGTCCTAGATTGTTCACTTCCCCTGCCTTCTCCATACTCTTCACCCTTTAGTGAATAACCCTGAATAACCATACACAACATGATAAAATGTGATTAAAATACCATGTAAACTACAATTGATGGAGGACACTATTTAAGGCCAAGACAGCATAATAAATATTTCCTGGTTCTGAACTCAGCACCTAAGTACACCATCGTCTGGGCCGGGATCAGATTGCTTTTTTCCATATTCAGCACCCATCCGAAGCCTCTCAGGGCCTTCATGCTGACATCCCTGTGGAAGACTGCCTCCTCTCTTGTAGTTGCCAGGATCAAAATATCGTCGAGGTAATGGAAAATGTTGATACCTTGCTTCCGAATCTCCGCAATGAGAGTGACCAGAACCTTGGAGAAGGTTCTCGGAGCCGTGCTGAGGCCGAATGGCATTGCTCTGAACTGGTAGTGTCTGTGGTTGACACAGAACCTGAGGAATTTCTGGTGTTCTGGCGCCATTGGGATGTGGAAGTATGCGTCTTTGAGGTCGATGGAGACCATCCACATGTTTGGACGCACCACCCTCACGATAGTCCGAAGGGACACCATTTTGAATTTCCTCAACGTAATAAACCTGTTGAGCTGATGGAGATCCAAGACCGGCCTCCAACCGCCGTTTGCCTTGGGAGTCAAGAACAGGTGGTAATAGAATCCCTGGAACTGTTGATTCTCCGGAACTGACAGAATGGCCCATTGGGCCAACAGGGTTTCCACATACTCCAACATTACATGCCGTTTCGCTGTTTCTCTTGGCAACTTTGTGTTTATAAGCCTGCCCCTGGGGGGAAGGAAACTGAATTTGAGCCTGTAACCTTCCTCGATGATCTTCAGTACCCAGGCATCTGATACTGATCTCCCCAGAGACCCGAAAACAGTTGCAACCGGGCACCCACTCTCGTGTCCCCGGGACAGACACCTTCATAATGTACCTTCTGATTTGGTGGATCCAGCACCTCTGCCTCTTCCACCTCTGGGAGCACCAGATCCACCCCTCCATGTCTGAGAGCGAGAGGACTCCCTCCCTGGCTTGTAGGACCTGGAGTCCCGAAAGCATGAGTGGCTCTGGCGAGGCTTCCAATCTCGATAATTCCGCCTAGTTCTCCTCTCCTCTGGAAGCATGGCCTTCTTGCTTTCAATAGACTTCTTAATATAAGAATCTAATTCCAGGCCAAACAGCATATCCCCCTGGAAAGATAGGGAACATAGACTATTCTTGGAGGAAGAATCAGCGCCCCATGACCTGAGCCAAATCGCTCTGCGTGCCACTACCGAGGACACCATGCCTCTGGCCAAACATTGTATAAGGTCGCCAGAAGCCTCCGTGGAGAACTCCGCTGCCAGCTTGACGTCCTGTATCTTATCCAGGAGCATGTGTCTGCTTGCTCCTCTCTTTATATTTTCTTCCAGCTCCTCTATCCACATTTTGGACGTGCGAGATACCGAGGACAAGGCCACTGCCGGATGAAGGCCCATTCCCAAGGAAGTATAGGTCTTCACCAAGCTGTGCTCAATTTTCCGATCCATTGAATCTTTCAGAGAACCTGCGTTGTCGACTGGTAAGGCGGTGCGTTTCTTCAATCTGACCATCGCTGCATCAATTTTAGGGGCCGTATCCCAAGTGTTGGAATCCGTACTATTGATGGGGTAGAAGCGTGCAAACCTCCCCTTAGACCCCATTCGTCTCCGATTTATCCCATTCCTCTTTAATTAGGGTTTTGGTGACTTTACTCACTGGGAAGCAGGGTCTATGCTTTCTCTGACCCGTAAAGTGTCTGCTGGAGGGGGACAAGACTTCCTCCTGCTCCCGCCTATCCAATGCTTTACGCACCAAGGTGATCAGTGCATCCACCCTTTTGGGGTGAAGTGTAGTGGCAGCAGGAGAGCCTTCCCGGTCTGAAGACGAGGAATATTCACCCTCCGACAGGGACCTCTCCTCCTCCGTGTCTACTGAGGAGTCCCAAATCGAGCTCGCCGCTCTGGGCCATTTGCCGGAATGGCCTGCTTGCCTTACTCCCTTTGCCACTGCCTGCTGAATTAAGTCCAAGATGTCTGCAGATGACTTAAAAGTGCCCGCTGCTTCCTTAAGACAGTCCGCACACAGCCTTTTCCCTGCCATAGCTTTGGCATCACAGGCGGAGCATCTGGGTGACTTAGCAGTTTTCTTCCCTGAAGATGCAGATGATTCCATCTCCGCAGGGCTAAAAATGGAGCAAAAATATCCTTAGCCAAATGTACTCTTTTTTTTTTT